AAAAAAAAAAAAAAGTATATGCCAGGATGAATACTAGTTCCCTAAATATTTTTAGTACAAGACATATAATTTACTCAATAAGTGAAAAAGTTTGTTTAGAAAAAGCTACTCAACTGTACTGAATGTCCAAAATCATTCTCCATCTGCAGAACCATAAAAGGGCTCAAAACAGAAGCAGAATGTTTTACAACAGCTGGTCTCTTTCAACTTTCTGTAATTTTTATAGCTCCTTTTCAGTGAATTTTTTTTAGTATACTGCAGCAGGATTCTTCTAGAAGCAGGCAAACCATGGTTTCACTTGTGCAATTCCATGAAGCAGAAGTGGATCACTGTTATCCCAAACCACCACCAGCCAGACACATGCAGGGTCAAGTAATGTACTCTCACATCAGGGCTGAAAACTTATCAAATATGGCCCTGATCCAGCAAAGCACTTAAGCACATGCTTTACTTTAAACATGTAAGTAATCCTATTAGAGTAAATGAGATTCAGCATAAACCACTGGACTGAATCTCAGAATACCTTGGTTGTGGCCCTGATTATGTCAGTGACCGACTGTGTAACCTTGGACAAACCACTGCACTTCTGTGCCCATGTTTCCTCCCCTGCCCTCTGCATGTCCATGCCATGTTGCACCACCTCACCAAAAGCAACCCCAATGAACCTCCTAGAAACTGCTGTACTACCAGTGGTGGCAGGGATGTGAATGTACATCAGTCCATTTCAAACACTTGTCATGAACTCAACACTAATTCTTCTCCAAAAAACCCCCAAGATGACATCCTTCAGCCTCAGGTCTTCTTATCCAGTATTGTGCACCAATTTCCAAAGCACAGCATTGCACTTAGAAAGCAATTGGGGTGGAATCCAGCCAAGGCAGCAGGTCAGGGCCAGCACAGCTCCTCAGCATGCCTGGTTCCACACCCAGGGCTCAGGATGCAGTTCCCACCTCTGACCCTTCCTCACAGGGCACCCTGAGATCCTGCCTGGGGTCAGTCTGCCACATTCCTGCCAGTGCTGCATCCACTGAAGAACAAAAGCCCTACAGTCCTGGGAAATTCTGTTTAAAGCACACAGGTGGAAGGTAGCATTGTCTCACAGGGTGCAATGTATTTACACTAAAAGGCTTTCTATTTGATATTTTTAGACACTATGATGCAAGATACAATTTTCCACAGGCAGGCCATACGCCATCAACTCTATGTCTTAATGATCTTGAGAATATTTTCACATAAATAATTCTGCTTTTGCACATATATACAACCACGTAGTCTGTTTACTCTTGCCGTCACGCTGCTTCCCAGCAGTTGTCACAGGCAATGTCACTGTCACAAGGAGAATACGGATTCAGCTCCTAACAATAAAGCGGGCATGGATGAGTGGGCAGGACACTCAAATGAGTTTCAGAAAGACTTGAGGTGAAATACTGTCCCTAGTGAAATCAATAACAGTTCTCACATTTACTTCAGCAGAGTAGATATTTCAGCCCTTTTTTTCAGTGTCTTCTGGTGATCTCAGTACCTAACAGAACAATTATTTATTTTCCTTAGAAACACAGGGAAAAGGACAGACTACAAGGAAAGCAAAGCAGGGAGGCAAGATATCAAAACAGATGTACTCTCTTTATCAGAATAATTAAACCCCCCACAAATTTACAATGACGCCTATTACAGATTATAAACAATGCAGAATATGAGATTAGATTAACATAGTTAGGACTATCCTTTCTAGGAACTCATTCACAAATTCTTCTTCTGTCCTTGAAACACCTGTACACCACGTTGCTGTTTTACCAGCTGAGCCAATGAAGAGCTCACAGCAACAGCAACACAATTCTGCGTGTGTCAGCCTGCTCTGGATCAGGCCTTTTGCATACAAAGATATCTATTATAAAACACCAGCATCATGAGCTGTACTCTGTTAATTAAAATATTTTCTGCTGTGGACTGGAAGCCTGGCCTATGAGATACTTGTCAAAATTATGTTCAGGAGTATAGCAACTGAAATGTGTTTCTGAATAGGTCAAAAGTAAGTTACTTTTGACTTTTTCTGAATTCAGGCAGCTAATAACTCTGTTCTCATTGTACAATGATGGGAAATACAGTTAAAATGTTATAGATAACTATGAACTAGCAGCAAGTTAATGCACAAAAGAAACTACCGGTATTCAGAAGATATTAAAAATTTTGGACGTACAAAAAAAATTGAGAAAGAGCCTATAGAGTAACCTGTACCTAAGCTTGAATTAAGTGTCCGCCGTGCACAACACAGGAAAGTCACAGAACAAGTGAAATTTACAGTAAACACGCCGGCTGCCAGTAAGCGCTGCAAGTTTCCAAAATTAGCCGCCTTATCAGCCAGCAGCGGACATTTACGAGGCATTTTGGAGCTGCCGGGGTCTTTAGCAGCGCTGGAAGTTGGGGCTGACATTTCATCTCTAACTCACGCCCCCCGCGCTCCGCGCCGCGCTAACAAAGCCGCCGGCCCGCGGGCGCGCATGCGCGGCCGTGCGCGCCCCGCTGGCCACGGGCCGGGCAGCGCGGCCAGCGGGACACGGGCTGGACACGGGCTGGACACGGGCTGGACACGGGCCGGACACGGGCTGGACACGGGCCGGACACCGCCCGGACACGGGCTGGACACGGGCCGGACACCGCCCGGACACGGGCTGGACACGGGCCGGACATCGCCTGAACACGGGCCGGACACGGGCTGGACACGGGCCGGACACCGCCCGGACACCGCCCGGACACCTCCCGGACACGGGCCGGACATCGCCCGAACACGGGCTGGACATCGCCCGAACACGGGCTGGACACAGGCCGGACACCGCCCGGACACGGGTTGGACACGGGCCGGACACGGGCCGGACACCGCCCGGACACGGGCTGGACATCGCCCGCACACGGGTTGGACACGGGCTGGACACGGGCTGGACACCGCCCGAACACGGGCTGGACACGGGCCGGACACCGCCCGGACACCGCCCGGACACCGCCCGCCTGCCAAACTTCTGCAGCGGCGGCTCCGCGGACAGCAGAGCCACACGCGAGTCCACCCACGACAGCCACCCGGGCGCGATTTCTCCGGGAGAAAGTTTTCTCCAGCTACTGTATCTATTTAACGCACGTTACTTCTCCCTCTGAAAATGGGCTTTGTATTTCAGCGAAGTTCATCTCTTCTTTGGAAAGGATTGTTGAAAAAAAAAACGGGATTTAACGTAAGTTCAGGCTTCATGCAGCACCCTTCTTTTCCCCAGCATCTCATACAGCGCCTCACAAAAGGCCCCAGAGGTTGGACAAACATAGCACCAGGAAAAACATAGAGTGAAAGGGATCTTTATGTGCATGTGTGAGGGCCCAGTGCTAATAGCTCAATGTGCTATTGACACATCACAGTGCAAACAGCTAAGTCTTTTACAAAATAGCATGAGTCACAGTGCCATTCTCAATTTTGGCTTTCTCAGATTTGGGTAATTTGTGGTAAGTCATCCCCATATTATTAAAACATATTTCTTTAAATGAAGGTAAGACACTGGGAAATTACTATTTCTTCTGACTAACGTTTACTCCAAACACTGCACATGCCGCAGAGGTGTGAATAGACAGAAGTGGTACTGCAACTTCTGTGATAGCCCTCGCCAAAGAGGAGCGTTAGTTACCCTTCTGTACCAGCATCACTTTTAGATAATCCTCCCGTTTGGATAATCCTCTAGTTAGGAACTGGCCATAACAGAGCCGCGCTGAGCCGAGAGAAGAGAGCAGAGGGAGGCTCCGTCCTCTCCTCACAGGGCATGCGAGCCCACCGCGCTCTGCCCGACGCGCCGGGAGCCGCCGCTGCTCCCGCCCGGGGAAAGTTCGGCAAGTCCCGACCCCACCGCGGGCGCTGCGCGCTCGGGACGCGCCTTTGTTCGCCGGCCACGGGGAGCAGGATCGCCTGCCCGAGCTCTTCCCAGCTGTCTGCCGCTCGCACCCCTCTGAACCGAGGGCAGGTTCCCCGGGGCGAGCCCCGCGGCGGCCGCGGCAGGAGGATCCGCCCGGCCCCGCCGACCGCAACTTTCTGGGGCCGGGCATCCTCCGGCCCCGCGGAGAGCGGCGGGCGCACCCGCCCCGCTCCGCGCATCCCCCAGCCCCGAGCCTCCCCGCCCGACGGAGCCCCAACTCCGGTCCGCGGGCACCAGCACGAGGAATTAACACCCGCGGGAATAATCACCTTGTTGTAGTTGTAGTAACCCAAACACTGGGCAAAGTCCAGGTTGGAGGGGTCTCCGGGGAGCGCGCTGCCCGCCGCAGCCGGGTAAAATCTTACATCCATGCTGGAGGTTTGGTCCACTTGGAGAGACCGCCGGGAGGTTTAATAGATCCACCTTCAAGTGCCTTCCCCGGGGTAGGGGCACGGGCAAACCGCCGAGGGAGCGGAGCTGCGGGGCGCCGAGCCTGCCCGAGAGCGGGGACGAGCGAGAGCCGGGGGGCGGCGGGGACAGCGGGGGAAGAAGCGGCGGAAAAGTGCAGGTAAACAAGGAGGAGAAGAGAGGAGGATGAGAGGAGAGGTGGGCAGCGGACCCCAGGTGGATGCCCGTCCACCTCGGCGGGAGGAGGGGAGGGGAGGGAAGGAGGGAGGGCAGGGGAGAGGGAAGGAGGGAGGGAGGGCTGTTGTTTTTTAAAAGCTCAGTGCCAAGCCACAGGCTTTGCCTCCGCATTCAGGAGCAGCTGCTGTACACAAAGGAGCCACGCGCCCGGCGCGGACGGACTGACGGACGGACCGGCCGCCGCTGCTGCCCGCCCGACAAAGGCGGGGGGACCGTCACCGCCGGGGGAGCGGGGCACGGCGGGGCCGCGGCCGCCCCGCGCTGCCGGGGAGGGGGCGGCTACCCCGGACTCGGTGCAACAGGGCTGCGCCGGCCGGGCGCGCTGCGGGGCGAAGTGCCGAGCGAGCGGCGCCGCGCTGGCAGCGCTCCCGGGCGGGGCGGCCGGGCCCGCGCCCCTCCCCGCCCCGCCCGCCGCCCGCTCCCCCCGCCCGGTGCGCGCCCGCGCCGCCGCTCGCCCGGGCCGGAGCGCCCATGGCTGTCCTCGCTCCCGGAAGGTTCCAAGGTTCCAGGTGAGTAACTTCCACGGCTTCCACCAGTTTTCGTTTCTTTTCTTTTCTTTTTTTTTTTTTTTTTTTTTTTTTTTTTTTTTTTTTTTTTTTTTTGATAATGCACTTTATCGATTCACACCGCTGCCTTGCTGCGTCAGGTAGGTAGCAGAAGAAACAAGATTTTTTCTAACCTGCTGTCAAGAGCATGACTTTAAACCACAGTAGCCTGCCTCACAGAAACCTCCTCACACTCTCAAAGTGTCCGGGTGATGAGTCAAGGCAACCTGCTAATAACCCAAATTTGTTTTGTCAGTCGCAGGCACAGCCCAGCCGTATCTGGTCCCTTGCATGGAGCTTTGCTGACCTGAAAATCTGCTCCAGAACTTTTGGAGAAAACACTAAAGCAGCACAAGGCCATTTAACCTTACAACTTGAGCCCTGCAGATAAGGTGCAAGGAAGAAACATAGAAACATGCCCCGGAGTCAAGGTTTGTGTGACAGGGAGAGAATTGCTTTTTGGATCTAGGCTGGATTCCTGGGCAGTTGTCATGTGGCTGAAAGTATGCCCCAGATGGAGTTTCCTCCATTTGGCTGCAAAACAGCAATGGTAATGTAAGTATACGAGGCTTAACTGTACAACAGCAGCAAGACATTCTCTGAAGGACAGACATCCTTGGGCCCATGCTCAGTCCTATTTCTTATGCCTGCCTCAGGAGCTTAGTGCCCCATACTTCATCTCTAGGCATTCTTCACTAAAAACAGTGCAAACAGGAGCAAACTGTAAAACAGGCCATAGCTACATCATGTAGAAGGGAACATCTTCCCAATTCTATTCCTAGAAATCTTCTGTTCAGTATTTGTGGCACATGTAGCTCCTGGTTGCATAGGACATGACAGATCACCCTTATTCAGGTTTTTGATTCTGAAGTATCACACTTTGAAGCAAACATCTCTAGCATGGTATTTTGCACTAAGAGCAGAATTAAACATAGTACAGATACATATTTGTATTTCCATAGAGTATTCAGAATTTAACTTCCTAGAAAACTGTGTATGAATGGGTAAATGCCTCAATAGCAAAGATAACAGGCATACACTATGAAATACCTAATCCAATTTCATATTCATTATGGCAGCTCTTTTTAACCGAAGGGAAAAGTCTGCAAAATGTACTCTGTTACTAGGAGAGGAGTGGTTAAGGAACATACAGCACAGAATACTCGCACAGGCACACCCTATATCTGTGGCAAAAAATTACTTATGCTCCTGAGAGAAACAAATTGTTCAGAAAAAGACAATAAAACTGGTTCAAAATGCAACATCACATTAGAGCGTTTCTCCAACACGGTGATGGAAAAGTGGTAGTGTACAGGCACAGCAAACATCTTTCAACTGAGGCAGAAAGCAAAAGTAGAATTCTACCAAGTGCACACATTACATTAAGCAGATTCTCAGGTATAGGAACAGATCGTTGCCCTCAAGTTCTGGACTGCTCTGCTCTATGAACACAGCTATTTCCCACTGCCTAGCTCTGGGTCACTACACTTCCAATGAAATCTGAAAGCATATTTCCACTGAATTCAGAGGAAGACTCCATGAGTGAGGAATGAACAGGAAGTGATTCCAAGTCTGGCTTTGGTCCTGTTGCTGCACTGCAGGCAGGCACTGTGGGGCTGCAGACCTGTGTGACCCGTGGCCCTGGGCAGTGCCTGGGCACAGCTCAGCTCTCTGTCCCCTGCCCGAGCAGCAGCCTCTGCTGCAGGGCCAGCTGCAGTGGGAGGCACAGCAGGTGCCCCGGGGGACTAGCACCACTGGTTAGGAGACGTGGGGTCAGGAGATGAGCAAATAATGGTGACGTAAATAGTGATGATTTTAAGTATGGCTCAGAAAGTAAATCAAAACAGTCAGCAAAAAAAAAAAAAAAAAAAAAAAAAAAAAAAAAAAAAAAAAAAAAAAAAAAAAAAAAAAAAAAAAAAAGGATTACATTCGAATTAGGCAAAATACCCCCAAAATATTATTTGGTGAAAAGCTTTGAAATACTCTCTGTTTACACTATCATGAAACTAAAGCAGAACTTCAATATTTTCAACAATAAAAGAATTACAATTCCTGGCTATGATCTACCTAGTGCCCAAAGTAAGTCTCTAGCAGAACTAGTATGACTGCAGTGAAATGAGTAAGTGATCTAAAATTATCTAAGGAGAAGGAGAAGAGAAACTGGCATATACATGCTAGTTTATTTTTATTTTTAAATAAAATATTATTGTTTATGTGTTACTGTACCAGAGAGAATTGTACAAACTAAAGAATTAGACAAGTATGTGTTTTTCTTTCTCAACACCTCTTCAATGTAGTATATTAAATAAGTAAACTTGAGCAATCTCTGCTACACTTTTAATCCATATACATTATGTCGTTATGTGTTTTTTATTACAATTCATTTAAATGCATTTATCTCAGGAGTACCTTAAAGGTGGAAAATGAGCCAAAAGTATTTATAACCTTCTATACATGATGCTTGAAAGGAATCCAACAAATTCTTCTCTCAAGCCATTCTCTTAAAGGTCCTTCAGTACAACTATGGTTTTGAAATTCTACTTATATATTTTTTTCTTTCAGAAAAATGAAGTATTTGCAATTTTGAGTAAGTATTTTTTCCCTGCTGGTTTAATAAAAGCAAGTATCTATCTACAGTAAGTGGAGTACTCCAGTAATTTCCCTGGTCCTGGGTAGCCTCAGTTTCAAAGTAACTTTTCAAAAAGCCTTGTTTCATAAAGGTTTGAATGTATGCTTACTGATGCCAACAATTATGATTCAGGAAGCAACACACAAATGGTGACTCTGTTCCATCTTCAGCTATACTTTCTTCTGACTCATCGTCACAATTCAATTTTAAAAGCCATTAAGAACACTCAAACTGCTTTTCTGATGTAAGAACAGAAATTGTATTGAGTGAATCAGTCATATACAGACTTGAAAGTGTGCCTGCACAAATTCTCACTGCTGCCCAGAAACATTTCAACTTGCACAGGTAAATATGAATGTTCCAAGCCTGGTGGTTGAGTCCCACACAAGCCTTGCAACCTTTTTTTTTTTTCCTCCCATACCAGGCCAAATTTTTTATCCTTAGAGCCTTTGCAAGCCCTGTGTCCATTCAGTAACATGGAAATAGTATCTGAGGCTCAGTAACAAAGGCACTGGAAGATTTACTCCAGCAAACCACAGGGTCAGGAAGGAACCTCAGAGATAAGAGCAAACAGACCAGATCTCTAACATCCAAATTCTCAGGTAAGCAGCCAAGTCCTCCACAAGCACCACACCTCAGCAAGCATGGGAGGGGTAGGAAAATGAGGGAGAAGGGATGGAACGAGCCAAAGCTGGACTGAAACCCTCTGCTCCAGTTTTACAATGCAGAGCCAACATTACAAAGAGCTGACATTCGCTTGCACAGTGCAGGGTGCACACCTATTACCCCAGCCCTGTCCACAGGTTTAGGGGTAGGTACTTGGATTTATCCTGGGCAATGTACAGGAGAAACACACAAATTCTTAGGAGGTTCAATAATTTTTTACCCACAAACTTTAGAACTCTTAAGTAGAAAAAGGTGCTTGGCAAATTTTAAAACATCCAGATGAAGTACAGCACTTTGCAAGCTCTAACTCAGCAAACTTTAACCTATCCAGACACAACAAGGTACTTACTGGAAATTTTTGGTTCAGCTTTAAGAAGAGGAAGGTAGAAGAAAGAGGGAGAAAGAGAAAGAAAATGGAGAGAGAAAGGTAAATATTCAGCATCCTAGGACCCACTATTCCTTCAGTTTCCTACATTGTCTTTTGGCTTCTATAAGAGCTGGAAGGAACAAGAGGAAAGGGAGGAATAGGACATCTCTACTGTCACCTGTTAAGACTCACTTAACCCCTTCCCCCCAGAGCACATGTGGACGATGGAAGGGCACAAAACAAAAAATATGGAATACAGAAGGAGAAAAGAAAGAGCACCAAGCAGGTCTGGTTTAGAAAAGAGTCTAAAGCCTCCTGAAATCAATAGAAAGTCCCTTTAATTGACTGCAATGAGTTTTGAATTAGACCTATATTCTACTTATCTAGTATAGCTGCTGAGAATCAACAATATTTTGATTAACCCTTCAAAGCAACAACTACACTACTAACTTCTGGCTAAGAAAAAGTACAATTAATAGCATATTAATTCATTAGAATTTATCTCACTGAAGTCCTCTTCTCATCAGGTGGTAGAGTCAGATGGCATTTAGAAGTGATCACACATGCATGCATATCCCATATAAGTGAGGCAATAAAGAAAATGCTTTTGTTCTTAACATTAAGTCAGATCAAATATTCATTTATATCTACATCTCTTAGCAAGTATCTCAAGCAGAGATCAATAAACACTTATTAGTCACTGACTACATTTCCTGCAGTAAAGGAGGGAATTTCAGCCAACAGATTGGAGAAGCCAAACAACTGGGGGAGCTGGAATTAAGTGCTTGCCTGCCAGATGATCATTTACCTTCTCATTGTCTCAGTTGCCACATCTAGAGAACTGCAGATCAAAGGATTATTTAAAAACTATAATCATTCCTTTAAAATACAAATCATTGTTTCAAAATACCAGTATGGATTGCTGCAAGGGGGAAAAAATCACAACTGCAATAGTTTGGTTTGTGAAAATTCTTCAGGCCCAAATTAGGAAATACATTACTTTGTGAAATTGGGACTTAAAAAAAAATGATTAAACTTTTCATGAGATTTACATGTGCCTCTTTGATGTTTCTGTGGGTTGCAGAAGTCTCTTAGTTTACTTGAAGTATTTTACCACCTCAAATCACATACAATATTTCAAATAATATTCTACCAGAAAACCAGATATATGAGTTGTTTAGAGAGCAGAGACAACCATTAATACTGTTGAACTATGTTACAGCAAAAAGGTTTCTGCTGCTTTAAAGAAAGTATTCCATAACCTTCCAAAATAAACCTGTGTATAATGGACAATATAGGATTACTTTTTGGCAGAGGGAATATCCTGTTGCTATTGACTGCAGTGTTACAGTATCCTCACATACTAGTACACAGTTATTGTGGGATAAAGACCACGTTGAAAAACAAACTGATTGCAGCACTGAAAACAGTAAAAGAACTGTCCAGTAATATGAAAATTCACTTATTTAGGAGAACAATGACTGGAACAGTGTCACTTCTAGATTAGTATTAAAGAATAAAAGTTTTAACTGAAAAGAAGAAATTAATGCAGTGTATTCCTTCCTTCCAGGGATGCCATTTTAAAGCAAGACAGGAAAACTTGGTTAGAGATGGTGCTGTATATGGTTTTATAGATATACAGATATATATATATATATATATATAATTACATGTACATATATATAATTTATATCATCTGTTGATATAAAGCTGTGAGGTATGTTTCTGGTTTTCTCCTCCAGCTCACTCATATTCATACATTTCTTGAATATAAATGTATAAAGATGTAAATAAATGTAAATGTATAAATACATTATATATGTATTTCCCCCTATTATGAGGGGGGGGGAAAGCCACTGGAATATACATTTTACAGGGAATTTACAAGGATAATGTCTACAGAAAGAAAAATATGGTCACCATGAGCAATCCAAATTCTTCTCTAAATGTCTCTGTTAGTCTAGAGGAATGTGATAGGCAGAAACTTTCATTTTACAGTAGAACCAAATCTACTGAAAGAATTAATGAAAAATCTTAGTGAGACACACTGAAGAGTTTTTCCAGGTGAGAAAGGTTACATTTAATCCTTTTCTCTGCAACAAATTCACTCATGCATGTCTCTCAGTTTTAATTTCATCCAATGTTCTTTTAGGCAATAGTTCAAAATACACACATATGACCTCTGATATATTTTGTGTGCACACATTATATATTATATACATGCAATATTAAGCACCTAAAGAAGGATGTGGGGATGTTTCTGGAGCAATCAATGACATGTCTTTGTGAGCTTAATTCAACAATCCCCAACTCAAGGGCATACTCACCCTTGAGAGCTGTGTGGTACCCTGGGGGAAAGGCGAGCAGCAGTGGCTGTCCCCAGAGCTGGGGAGGTGGCTCTGTCCACCCTGTGACCACAATGCACATCCTTTGTTGGTGGCTGATGAAGGGATGGGCTTTTGGTCATCTCTTGGAAGCCAATGAAGGACTTGATGAGACACTGCTAAGGTACAAGGTAAAAGCAGTGTACAGTTTCACAGTCATGCCTTAAAAACAAAAGTAATTATTTAAAAATGCTGCTATCACCACATCCCTTTCCA